CCCCAAAACCCCAAAACCCCAAAACCCCAAAACCCCAAAACCCCAAAACCCCAAAACCCCGAAAGAAGGTAGTGGTGTTGAAAGATAGAATAAAAACTTTGCCTACAAAATCTGTGAAGTGTAGAACATTCTGCTTCTACCTTGCTTTTCTGTCGGTAGAGATGGAGTGTAAGCCGAAGGAATATCTTTACCTGCTTTAATTCTTTTCTGCAACTTCATATTCTCTAACAAAGATGTATTCAACCGGTCATTGCTTGTCTCTCCGTACTTCTGGTAATCTATGTACCCTTCGAAGCCCCTCATCTTCTTCTGGCTCATATGGCTAAAAGTCCTATTAATGAAGTTCTCCTGCCCTAGAGCAGCCTTTTTATGAGTAGTCGAGTTCCTATAGTGATCTGAAAGAATCGGAACGCTAGATTTTAGGTTTTCAACGAAAACAGATTTATTTCTTAGAAGGACGACTGAAGTCATACTCTGCCAGCTTTCCTCGAGCTGTTGAGGTGGAGAAGGGAGGTTCTTTCTCTGTGAAATTTTTGATTGTGAAAATACTCCCTCTTTGGCTATGTTCTTGACGCTTTCTGGCAATCCTCTCTCTTTCCCACACTAAGTGCAGCTTGTTATTAGTATTTGGATCTGTAAATTAATCTAAATTCTTACATTTCTTTTTGAATAAAGCATGAAAATTTTTAGGATTTTGAGGAGTTGAGGTAAGCTCCTCTTCTTTCTTAGCTTCCTGGATAGGTTGGAAGTCTATGTACTTATTTTGAGCATCGGTCTGGGAATCACAATAAGTTTGTCTCATGAACTGATCAGCGGTATCTCTGCTGTTCTCATCAAGGTTGTATTCGTTCCTGTTCAGGTACTCCTCTTGGTTGACGTCAAGGTATTCTTCTACTTCATCTGGAGCTTGATAGTTTTCTTGAATCTCATTGTCTGAATCTGAGAGTTCTACAATTCTTTCTTCAACAACTTCTGAGATTACGCTGCTCTTTTGATGATCAGAGTTAAGATCTGAAGGTGGATTGTTAAAATAATTTGACTTCCTAGTAACATCTTCCCTTTGGTCTCTTCTATTTGCTTCCTGTTGTTAATCTGCTAGACTGACTGGGATGATCAGCTGCAGCAAATTGGTCGGTCTCGGCAAAATATGCACCGTCATCATCACTGAATTCGTCAGGAATGACAGGCAATTCATTGAACTTTCGCTCCTGATTCATTATTTATTTTAATTGATTAGAAATTTTAGGGGTTTTGGGGTTTTGGGGTTTTGGGGTTTTGGGGTTTTGGGG